ATCATGACGTCAGTTACCTGCCCGTATATCTGTACATCATGACGTCACTTACCTGCCTATATGCCAAGTGTAAATCATGACGTCACTCATCTACCCAGACCTCAGCGCACATCGTGGCGTCATCTGCCTATGTCTGTACATCATGACGTCACTTACCTGCCCATATCCCGGTGTACATCATGACGTCATCAGGAGAGTTCAGGATGTAGACGCTGAGGTTTGAAGTTTTAAGCGCTGGGTTTTTGTTCTCAACATTTTTAGACAACGCGTTAATTGATTTGGCCAATTTTATCTCCGGAAAGTTTCTAATACCTCGCCTCAAATCACTGCACCTGAATGAGTTAAATGATGACGTCACCCTGCTGCTCTATTTAATGTTGTGGATTCACTCTTCAACACACCGGTGGGCTAAAGTAGTGAACTATTTGTTTTTTGTCAACGTGACACTTTTTTTGCTGATTGGCCGTGTCGGGTGGTGGAGGGTTACGACACATTTATAAATAACGCGATCTAACCCAAAAACCTTTATTATGAATAATATTGGTCGCGAAAGCCTACGTGTTGAACAGTACTTGCCCAGTCTTATACTGCTGAAACGGGGCACGTTGCGTGTATGGGTGTGTGGTACGCACTGTATGTTCCAGGGACAGTCAGTCATGTTGTGTGAATGTGCACACGGTAATATTGAGTGTGTGGTCGTGGAAAGAGGAGCTCGTTAGCAACACTTGCCCTGACAGTATATTCAGCACCTCCGATCAGCACGGTTGGCTACGGACGGTGCAAGCCAGCAGCTGGTCAACAGCGGCATGGTGTGATCATGCATCAGCATGCCGGGCCACGAGAATCTCCCCAGTACACTAAGGTTAACCTAGGTGGGAGATCGAGAGTAGATTGCCACTGATGACATCCGTGGCCGGGAATTGAACCCAGGTCACTGGCATCGGACCGGGGGCGCGGTTCGCGACGAGTCGACAATATCACACGAGAGTCTCTGTGCTTGGGTGGGTGCGTGAATGAACGGAAATAAAATAAAATAAAACTCCACGTGCAACAAGGCGGGCCGCGCCACCCTCCAGTTTAATAGCGAAACGTCGCTCGCCCCCGTGCGCCGGGACATTCTCAGCCCCCCCCCACGCACCCCGGCCAAGGGCATCGTCATTAAATGCGGGCCCTGTGACACGCACGGTTATAGCGGCGGCGACTGGCATGTGCCCTGCATACGGACGACAATAAATATACACGCGGCGTAAATCTGTGTATGTACACGGGGCCGGAAAGGCGAAGCCGTCATCGCGACGCGAATAAACATCAAAGGCGACAACAACAACAAATTCTAGATTTGAAGCTTTCGTGACTGCAAGGATCCATACTCTTTGGTTCTATTCGATAAAGTCACGTAAAAGTATAAAACAACCGAATAGAACCAAAGAACAACAACAAAATTCCGCAGTCGGTTCGCCGCGTTGCCGATCCGAGGAGGGAAACGCGATCGGTTTTCACTTTGCAAGGGAAAGGGGGCAAAGTGTTAATCAGCTCCTGCACGTGGCCGAGCGAATAAGGAGGCCAATGGGCGGGCGGGCGGGCGGTCGCTCTCGTGGCCACCGCCCTGCACGTCGCGTCCTGCCGAGGTGTGCGACTCTTCCTCCGCACGGCCAAAAACAAACAGCGCGTGGCGGTCGCCTCTTCGTGCTCGCGCGAGTACGGCGAGAAGAGGCAGTGGAGGTGTCGCGGTGGCGGCGGTGTGGGTGGGTGGCCGATCATCTTCCGTAGCGAGCGGTGTAAATTCCACTGGCAAAAAAAATTGAAAGGGCATGCCGGGCTCAGCTTTGTGTCCGTTCAGGATGAGCGCAGTCGGCGTGGTCGCGACGTGCGGCGCCTGGACTCGTCCACGTCGCCCGCGGAGGCGGAGGCGAGAGTCCCCCCCCCCGGTGGCGATTTGAGCATCAACCGCCCCGACGGGCGGCCCTGCGCTGTGCGCGGCGGGGAAGATGATAACCTTTCGTCCGACGTTCGGGGAAAATGATATCGCATCCATGGAACCCATAACGCAGTCTGATCGTTTGTTCACTCGGTGAAATTGAAGCGTTTCACGCTGTGCAAGAGCGCCCGCGTGGACCGTCAAAGATTCGTCCGAGCCAGCAGGAGGAGGATGAGGCAGAACGGGCGGCGACAGTGAATTCGCAGACAACTTTCGGGAATTGTTGTGACGCTGTCGTGACCTTGTCGTTGCGAGTAACGCTCTCGAGCCGGATGCGGAATTAATCGACATCGCGGTGGGTGAGAAAGGCGCGCGGCGCTGGATGTATGTCTGTGCTGACCGCGGGTACCGAAACTCGGCATCGCGCGACTGCCACGGTGGCCAGAGCCACTCGACCGGCCACCCGACTCTGGCCACCGTGTCTTCCCGCTGCACGAGGCAGCCGAATAAAAGGCTGAATTCGCGGCCAGACGGACGGACGGACGGAGGGGTAGAGGGACGGGCGGTCGATGTACGGATGGACAAACGGCACGACGTTCACTCGGAATCGCAGAACCTCGCAGAGCGGCGTGTGCCGCTTCTGGGTTCGATCGCAAGACTCGTTCGACCGTGGCTTCGTCCGCTCACGCTGCTGCCGTCCCAGGACACGTTTGCCGAGTTGTGCCCCCCAAAACTCACCTCTATCTCTCTCTCTCTCTCTCAAGAGAACTGGGGGGCTCCACGTACGTCTGGCGTGGTGCCGAGTGGCCCAAGAGAGCGGTGGGAATTCTACATTCCCGTGGCACGCATTCCTCTTGTGCAGCCACGGGTGTGTCTCTGTTCGCACAGCGACCACTGACAACTTTCCACAACGTAGATCTCATTTTATCCACCCAGACAGATAGATGTGCAGAAAATCAACTTCCCCACAGCTTGCAATCGAGATCCACTCTTTGCGTACATTTTTAGTTCCGACGAAATGGCTACTTCTTGCCGAGACAAATTCCCTCGCCTGCGATCGTTGAGACCAGGGGTGGGGAACCTTTTTTCTGCCAAAGGCCATTTGGATATTTATATAACATCATTCGCGGGCCATACGAAATTATCCATACTTAAAAATGAGCCTGTTATATTTGGTCAAACATTTAATTAACTCGCCCCTAATGTGATGGGCTGGAACTGCTTCTCTTTGGTGAGGCGTGTGGTGATGTTAGCTGGTATTGATGATGTTGCTACTCGCAACTGCTTTTCCAGGTTTGCTCCGAGATTTATTGAATTTCGAGTCCCGCCTGCGGTTGCCTTGGCAGGGCCAGAGACCAAATTATTTCGCGGGCCCTATACAGCCCGCGGGCCCGACGTTCGCCACCCCTGGTTTAGACGAAAGAGCTTCGATTCCAAACGTCGCAATTGACGCTTTTGCGATGAGCCGTGGCTACGCGGGCCTCCATCCCGCGACCCACTCGCAGAGCCGCTGCCGCTTGGCTCTGTGCGATGGGAGGAGAGACAACAAAACAATCCACATTTCTATACTCTATGGGTCTTTCGGTAAAGTCAAATAAATGAAACTGAAAACTGAAACGTAGGTAAAAAAAATAATAACGACGTTTCAGACGCAACACGAGCGTCCGTAATTGGGCTTGTGTTTGCGTCCGAAACGTCGTAATCTATTATGTTCCTACCTACGTGACTTTACCGAAAGACCCAAAGAGTGTGGATTCCTGCAGACACGAAAGCTTCAAATCAAAATCCACATCTTGTACCATTGCCAGCTCTCCTTTAAGTAAAACATAAATCAGACCCCCGTTACAATCTTGCTCCATCCAAAACAGTGTCGGGGTTTGTTTCAGGTCGAGGAGTTGTAGCAAAGCCGGCGGGCTGCACTACGACCTCAGTGACCTCCCCGGCTACCGTCTGGAACGCTCTTCCTTCCGATATCAGGAAGCCGCTGGGAGCGATGTGCACTTAAATCGTCGTCCAGATTGACAAACTCATTGCTTCAGAACTACTTTCTGCGTTTAGTTTGTCGTCCTTCCCCCGCACCTCCGATTAGCACGTTCGGCTACGTACGGCACGAAAGAACGTCAACATGCGTACGTACGAACACCGCAGTTAGTGCTCAACGGTAAACGCATCTGGCCTGGGCCTCCCACAAAGGTTGGCTCGGCCTAAAATGGGTACCCAGTGCAGTGCGATGTGGTGTGAATGACACAAGCAGTGCTGAGCCCGGCACATTGTCGTGTGCCTTTCCGCTCCTAACAGGAACTCGCTGACAGTCCCTGTTTGGTTAGCGTGCTGCGCTGCGAACCGTGCGACACGAGTTCGATTCCAGCTCATGGCCAACACCAGTGGCGATTATCTGAATCGGCCCTGGGCCTCCCCGAGGTTGAGCCTGAAATGAGTACCTGGAGCGATGTGTAAATATCGGCACTCGGGGAGACAAAGGCGGCCTGGCGTGGTGCTGGCCACCCGCCGGCCTTTATCGGTGCCACTCGCTAACGCCGCTTGCCCCAACGGTCCGTCAAAAGCTGTAACAGGGAATCTTTGTCTTGATTTGAAGCTTTCGTGACTGCAGGAATCCATACTCTTTGGTTCTTTCGGTAAAGTCACGTACACAGTTTAAAGGTCCGCGGTCTGAGCGTGGTTGTGTTTCGCTAAATTCTCCTGTTTGATTTGTGCTAGGTGCCTCGGTGAATGTATATGCTCTGACTTTAACATAGCTATTTCTGTGACCAGTTACAAGCTAATCACTCAGCTATTTCAATGCTAAATTCTATGCTAATTCCTTTGTCAAGGGGTGCCTCTGCGGATGTGTATACTTTAACTTAGCTATTTCAATGAGCCATTTCAATGCTAAATTATATGCTAATTCCTTTGTCATGGCGCTTTGTTTCTTCTCACACAGCTTAAAGGTCGCGATCTGAGCGTGGCTTTTTTCACTCCAGCGCTGTCCTCCAGACAGTCTCGTCCCTTCACCTGATGAAGGCCGCTTGTGTTGTGGCCGAAACGTCAATAGAACCAAAGAGTATGGATCCTAGCAGTCACGAAAGCTTTAAATCTAGAAAAGAAATACGTGACTTTACCGAAAGAACCAAAGAGAAGGGAATCTTTGTCTTTTGCATGACACAGCAAGCACATGTGCATTTTCCGCGATATATAACGTATACGCGTCCTCGTGTAAACCCAACAACATTTGCGAATGCTTTTAAAATTTCATTCAAATGTCTCCTTTCTTTGAATCGTTTCTCCCAGAAACACATCGGGAACTCGCCGTCGGTGCCGAGTCGCCAGTGCATCGCCTCGCGCGAGGCGAGGTTAGCACGCCTCTTGGTGGTGGACGACACGGGAACGCCTCTTATTCTTCTTCCTCCTCTTGCTCTCCTGTGTCCTGTAAGCGGGGCCCTCCCGTTGGACGCCCTGGAGCGTTCGCTGCCCGACGCAAACCGTCGTCGTCGATTTCATCGCGCGGGGAATGCCGAGCCCAAATTTCGGTGAAACAACAACAACAAAAAGAAGAAACGCCGCCGCCGCCGCCGCAGGTTTGAACGACGTCGGCTCGTCGCGCAGTCGTTCAAACTCAGAGGCCGGCCACAAGTTCGCGACTCAAATGTCTCCGGGCCGGGGCGCCGGCGACCGCGGACTACTGCAGCGTCGCCGGCGACAGCGAAGCCCAGGCGGGCGACATGAGCCTCTGGTGGGCTTGAGCGTCGTAGTGCGAGTCGGGGAGCCCCACGGCGATGGTGGACGACACGGGGATGATGGAGGAGGAGGAGGAGGAAGCGGACGACGAGGACGACGACGAGGAGAGGGGGTGGCCGGTCCCCGCCAGCTCGGAGCCGTGGTGGTGGTGGTGGTGGTGGCCGACGCTGTCGTAGGGCGACACGGCAGGGGGGCCCCCTCCGTGGCTCGACCCGTACGGGGACGAGGACGAGGAGGCGCCGCCGCCGCCGCCGCCGCGGAAGAACGGCACGGGGAGGCCTGCGGTGGGGCCGGACTGCTGCTGCTGCTGTGCCGGGGAGAGGCTGCTGTTGCTCACGGACCACAGGCTGGGGTACTGGCTGCACGGGGGGTGGGCGCACGCACAGGGAGGGGCGGGGGGGGGGAGAGACGCAAGGTGTCAGCACACTGAGATCATCATCATCATCATCGGCAGCAGCAGTCGTGATGAATCCGATTCTGGACGAAGGCCTCGGCCATTCACCACGGTCGTCGTGTGTGATGGCAGTCATCCGTCCGCCACCTTCGAAGTGCCCCGGTTTGGGTGGGGGGGGGGTGGTGGATGCGTTCCTGAGAGGCGTGACGAGCGAATATCGAAACGACTGAGAATCGAATCGGTTTGCGGGGTTGGTGCCGGAGGCGAAGGCTGAGAGAGAGGCGCCGGCTAGCGAGAATGAAGGACAGACGATGACGACGCTGCTGCTGCCCGAGACGCCAATGGGGTGGCGGCGTTCGTAAAGCGACGACGTCGGGGGGGTAGACGTACATCGGGGCTATTGCCGTACAGAAAGGGAATAATAGCTCAAGGTGCAGCCCTGCAATTCCCTACTCGCGCCACTGCTGGCAGAAGAGCGAGCTCCAGAGAGGCAGCGCGTCGCGACGTCCCCCGTGGGCGCCCGCTCGCTCGCTCGCTCGCGGCACTTGCCCCAACGACACGCGTAGGTTATACGGTTCGGGGGGGGGGACCTTTGCCTTTATCTTTGTTGTTGTTGTGAGTCTCACCTGGGCGCCGGCGCCGAGGTCGTGGCCCCGCCGGGCCCCCCAACCTGCAGGCTCGACCAGCCCTCGTGCGCGGGGAACAGAGGGAGCCCTCCGCCGGAGGAGACGTCCACGTAGGCTGAGGCTGACGGGGGAAGAGAGTGGGGGGGCAGCCGTCAGCGTCGTGGTCACGGCGTCCGTCGTCGTCGTCGTCGGAAGCGAAGGTCGCGGCGGTCACCGTCGAGACGAGCGTCGATATTTAGCGTCGACGTCGCCATTGTGGTCACCGACGCGATGGTCATCGTCATGGGTGTCACCGTCGTCGCTTGCGAAGGTCGTCACGATCACGATTGTGATAATCGTCGTTAACTGTCATCACTGTCATTCTCGTAATCGTCACCATCATCGCGATCGTCATCGTCACCATCATCAGCATTGTCACGGTGATCCTCATCACAAGTGCCGCCGTTGTCATCACTGTTGTAAAATATCGTCACTCTTCCCCCCCCGCTAGTGGCGTGCCAGGCACTCATTTGAGGCTGAGTCGACCTAGGGGAGGCGCAGGACCGGTTGTTCATATTCAGTAATTGTCACGAACGTTAGGTTCATAGTGCGTCACGCTAACCACTAAAGGACCGCTCCCCATACACAGACACCCACAAAGACAAACAACAATGACCAGTCGGAGGAGACACGTGCACACACAACACACAGATAACGGATACAATAACAAAAGACATAGACACACAACGAGACACAACAAGACAACGATCCCCGTGAAGGCCGGCACGGCACACGAGGGGGTGGGTGGCCAGCACCCCACCCGGCCACCTTTGTCTCCCCAGTAGTGATTATTACGCACCGCATCAGGTACTCGTTTGTTTTAGGCTTAATCGACCTAGGGGAGGTCCAGGACCGGTTCAAATTGTCATCGCCGGTGTCGGCCGTGAGCGGGAATCGAACTCGGTTCGCCGTGGTTCGTAGCGCGGCGCGCTGACTACTGCGTGCACACGCACGCACGTGCACACGCGCACACACACACGGGCACGCGCACGTACTGGGCGAGGAGCTGCGGTAGGGGCTGGGGTAGGGCGCGGCGCGGTGCGAGCGGAGCGAGGAGAATCGCTCGCAGCCCGCGGGCGCGTGGTGAGCGGAGAGCGCGAGACCCCCGGGGAACTGCTGGTGGTGGGACGAGGGGGACGCAGTCGGCAGGAACCATCCGCCCACTGCTCACGATGGGTGGGTGGGTGCGTGAGTGCCAATGCGTTTGCGTGAGAGTGTGTAGAAGTGTGGGAGTGTGTGTTTGTGTGTGTATTTACGTGTGTACACGCGTGTGCGAGTGTGTACGTGTGTGAGTGTGTAGTATGTGCGTGTATACGTGTGTGAGTTTGTGTTTATGTGTATTTATGTGTATGTTTAGATGTGAATGCGTATGTAGATGTGTGTGTGTGTGTGCATTCACGTGTGTAAGTGCGTGCGTGTACGTGAGACGTTGTGGGTATGTGCAAACGTGTATGTGTGTATTTGTGGGTGCGTGTAAATATTTGTGTGTGTGTACGTATGTATGTGAAGGAGAGAGAATGCAGAACACACAAAGAAGAGGAAGGAAAGTCAACGCCAGTGAAATCGTTCGAGCTATAGCATGTACCTTGGTCTACACTGTTACGGGTTGGTATAAACACATGCGTTCACAGTGGGTCGTGATATTACTTTTCGCACACATATACGGTACCAAGGCTGTAGCCATGGAGTCAACATTGGGGGGGACCAAATCTCTATGCATTGATTTATATGAAGACAAGTCCAGATATTGTGGCCAAGGTTTAGCAAATTGTTGTTTTTATTTACATAGCATAGCAATTATGATTACTTTTTTATATATTTTATAGCAATATATTGGGGGGGGACATTTTGAGCATATTTGAATATTGGAGCATGTGTTAACTACCTCGCTTGGTATATACATTGTACAGGAGGTCATGGGTTCCGATCCTGACCCTGGTGCTGATGTACTTGAAGTACGCGTGTTCAAATGAAATACATCCAGCACCACAGGTTCACTGACAATCCACACTTCCTAACATTAGCGCGGTTGGCTACGTACGGTGCAAAATAAAATAAGGTCAACACGCATGCATACAGAGACAATCATGGCACTACTGTTATGAGCAATGGTGAGCAGTCGGGGTCGGACATTTTGGGCCTGCGTTTCTCTTCAAGGATGGAATATTTATTAATTTTAGCATCTCATTTGTATTGATTCTCAGTGTTTTTTCTGTCCTGTTCATTCAGTTTAGTTTGCTCCATTACCAAAAATTGGGGGTTAGCATAATATATACGTATCGTTTTGCAGACATCAATACATCTTGAATCTTCCGCATGTGAATTGATGCATGTGTAATGAGTGGACTAGTGGCCACGGGAGGTAATGACAGGGGAGTCAGCTTGCAGTACGAATGGACTGGTGGCCACGGGAATTATCTAGAATAGGAGTGTGGCCAGGTGACGTAAGAGGACGGTAGAGTCTGCCGGTAGAGCGAGCAGTCTAGAACCAGCGAGAAGGTTCGGGAATGGGGGCGTGACCTCGGACCGTATATCAGGGAGATGCGTGGGGGTCTCCGCTTGTCCGCTTGTCCGAGTGTGAGCACGTGGCTCCTTAATAAAATAAACCATCTCAAGACAAGTGCGTCCAAGTCGTCATTACACATGTACCGTGGCGCATTCTTATCTATGGATGAAATGCGCCTTGCAAATGTAAATTATTATCAAGGACGGATGTTGTTTGTTATGAATCGTTGTTGTCACGGCGTGTCACCACGCGCTTGCTTTCTACGTGGCAATCGGCGCCCTGGACGGTGTCCTCACAAACGAGACGTTCCATCTGACGGGAAGCTTCCAGGCGAGATAAAACAAAAACGTGATAGGAAAGACCGCCGGTCGTGAGCCGCGGCAGGAGTGTGGGCTACGTACGGGACGCGTATCCGGACTGCTGAATATCCGCCACGTCTCCGACGCCGTCCTTCAGCGGGTCACTCCTGTAGGAACACGCCGCACTGCCAACGTTATAGGCGCATCCTCCAGGCACGGCGGCCTCAACATCGGAGCAGCAGAGGCGAGGGGGAGGTATGAAGCAGTGGGGGGTTCAGGTACGGAGCGGGCAGGCGGTGCATCCGCACCCCATGCCCATGAGGGGATATTGGACGAGGGGGGATAGGGGGCAGAGTTCAATTTTATTCTATTTTATTATAGGGCGCCATGGTGGCTAGGAGATGTTAACTACCTTGCCTGGTATACAGGAGGTCTTGGGTTCGATCCCGACCCTCACGCCTGTTGTAATATTTGGAGTTTGCATGTCTCTCTTCCCGATGATCGCGTGAATTTTATCCACATTTGCAAACATGCGTTAAGAGTCTTTGGCTGCTAGAAATTTCCAAATGATGATGAGCCACTTCGTTGAGCTGTCATTTGTGGTAGCCAGGTCGCTTCTGAAAAAGAGCTGTGTAGCTCAGTGGGCCTTACCTGGTGAAATAAAAAATATAGTTTTAGTAATCGTTTTAAATTCATCGCGCCAGGGCCCATGCCAACCACGCTACGCCATGCCACAGGTTCGGGTCGCGGGTCAACGCAGACATTTTGTCACGGATTCTTTGCATAAATCCTGTCGACAGCGATTTCTGTAATGGCACTTTGCCCGTTACCGGCCACATTTTGGCAGATGATTACGAGGTGCTGTAACGTATGCAGCGCTATGCATATCCAAGCGGCTGTTTCCACTGTGGTGAGAACACCTAGTTCACCATCAGTCATGTGGGGATGAATGTTGTTGTGGGACAACAGTCGTTGTTCTGTGGATAAACTGCCACCTTCCATTGGAATGTGGAATTTCCACTGCTGGCTCTGGGCTAAAACATATTGGTACTTGGTTTATGAGTGTATATGTTAGTGTTATCAATACATTTACTTATGCATTGTTAGTATCCGGAACAATAGGGAAATGCAAATGTACATGTATGATGCATAAAAATGTGATGCATTTCACGATTATCAAAATATGAAAAATCACGAGAAATGTATGGTGTTTATTTAATCGCTGGTGCTGCGGCTGATGATGATGCCGATGATGATGATGCTGATGATTAATATGACTTATTACGTGTGTGAGTGTGTGCACGTTCTTTGTTATCACCTTTCCTTCGCATCCAGAAACGCCTTGGCAAAAGGGTTGTGTCGAATTTTCAGCGAAGTGATCTGTAAAGAACAAGAAATAAAATTAGATTTTTTTTAAATGTGTCCCCCTCAGGCTTTTCCTTGGTTCCATCGGTGGCAAAACACGATCCCCTCTTTTGTTTCCTCAATCTAAAATAGCTTTTAGTGTTTCTGCACGGCATCTTCGGATGCGGTCACAAGTAGATGCTTTCTATGTCCACGTTGTTGTTGTTGTTGTTTGAATTCAGGCTTACTGATAGCCAAACCTCATCATTCGCGGATTTTTCTTTCGCGAAATTCGCTCATTCGCAATGTTATATCTGTGCACCGGTGCAAGTGTCGCTCATTTGGCGACATCGCATCACGGGGGAGGGCTACTGCACTCGCGCAGTACAGTAAGTGGATTGTGGCACACGTGCTGCCATTCACAAAGCTGAAGCTTTCTACTCTTCAAGTGCCGTTGCCTTTCGCCGAGTGAACGGAGGAAGTGGGAGCCAGAGTAAAAGGCGTGAAAAAGTTTTGAGCTTAGCTGAAAAAAAAGGGTAGACTTTACACATAGACTTGCTCGTGGTGACAGTATGTCTGCTGTTGGCTGCCATTACATGGTAAACGAGTGAACAGTCGCATTTATAAATGGAAACGAGAAGGCAGTGAGTGTGGCGGAAAGTGCACCAATAAAGAGACTTGAATACCCGCCGAGCTCTAGGTGCGATGCCTTCGACGATAGCACCGCGGAACGGCACTGCGGGCGCACGAACGCGCCACGTTCACGCGGCGTGCCACGTTCACGTGGCGTGCCACGTTCACGTGGCGTGCCACATTCACGTGGAGTGCCACGTTCACGTGGCGTGCCACGTTCACGTGGCGTGCCACATTCACGTGGAGTGCCACGTTCACGTGGCGTGCCACGTTCACGTGGAGTGCCACGTTCACGTGGCGTGCCACATTCACGTGGTGTGCCACGTTCACGTGGCGTGCCACATTCACGTGGTGTGCCACGTTCACGTGGCGTGCCACATTCACGTGGAGTGCCACGTGAACGTGGCGTGCCACGTTCACGTGGCGTGCCACGCACCGTACCCCTCGCCCCTTGCCCTGTGTCTCCATGCCCCGTGTCTCTATACCCCGTGCCCCATGCCCTGTGTCACCATGCCACGTTTCTCCATGCCCCATGCCCCGTGCCCCATGCCCTGTGTCACCATGCCCCGTGCCCCCATACACCCACACCCCGTGTCTCTATACCCCGTGTCACCATGCCCTGTGTCACCATGCCCTGTGTCACCATGCCTCGCGCCCCCATACACCCACACCCCGTATCTCCATGCCCCATGCCCCGTGCCCCATGCCCTGTGTCACCATGCCCCGTGCCCCCATACACCCACACCCCGTGCCCCGTGCCCCCATACACCCACACCCCGTGCCCCCGTGCCCCGTGTCCCCATGCTGCCCACCTCCTCGTTCTGGTAGGCGGTGACGGCGATGAAGCGTGTCTCGGGGAACGCGTGGCTCGTGACGAGGCGTTGGGCGCCGCCGACGCGCACGATGTGGATGCGGGGCTGGTACTTGTGGAGCGAGTTGAGCATTATCTGAGCAGCAGCAGCGACGACGACGATGAGATTCACATCAACGCGGGTGATGCCATCGCCATGATCAGATATGTCATTGTCACCCATATCATGAGAACCATATTCGTAAGTTATCAACTTATCCATAAACATTAACACATTCATTTATATCACACCATCATGTCCACCATAATCCTTACCATCATCATCATGACCAAAATAATCACCACCACAAGCATCATGATCACGTAATCGCCACCAGCATCATCACCACCATCAATAACATGATCATCAGCACCAACGTGACTTCCATCACCAACGCCCCTGGTCATCATGAACGCCACAACACCACCATAATCACCACCAGCACCACCACGAGCGCCCACCTGCCCGCTGCCGTTCATCTTGTTGGAGAGCTTGACCTTGCAGAAGGAGACGGGCGCGCGCATCCAGTGCGCCCCGAAGTTGGGCGAGTCCGGGTGGATGTAGACGCAGCTGGGCGGCTGCGGCTCGGGCTTGCCGCCCGCCACCCACTCGCCGTTCACGTACTTCCAGCGGTGGGCGTCGGCGGCGCAGAAGTCCAGCAGCAGGGAGTACATGGCGTTCGGGTCGAGGCCCGACACGGACGCCTTGATCACGGGGAACATTCGCCTGCGCGCAGCACAGCGACGGGAGAGTCACTCGCAGCCAGGGCTCGGAGACAGAGTGAGTCATCTGGACAGATGACAGCTCATAGAGTGATTCATCTGGACAGATGAGAGTTCATAGGCAGAGTAAATCATCTGGCCAGATGAGAGTTCATAGACAGAGTGAATCATCTGACCAGATGAGAGCTCATAAAGTGGGTCATCTGACCAGATGAGAGCTCATAGAGTGATTCATCTGGACAGATGACAGCTCATAGAGTGATTCATCTGGACAGATGACAGCTCATAGAGTGATTCATCTGGACAGATGACAGCTCATAGAGTGATTCATCTGGACAGATGACAGCTGATAGTGATTCATCTGGCCAGATGAGAGTTCATAGGCAGAGTAAATCATCTGGCCAGATGAGAGTTCATAAAGTGAATCATCTGACCAGATGAGAGCTCATAAAGTGGGTCATCTGACCAAATGAGAGCTCATATAAAGAGTGATTCATCTGACCAAATGAGAGCTCATAGACAGAGTGATTCATCTGACCAGATGAGAGCTCATAGACAGAGTGATTCATCTGACCAGATAAGAGCTCATAGACAGAGTGGGTCGTCTGGCCAGATGAGAGCTCATAGAGTGATTCATCTGGCCAGATGAGAGCTCATAGACACAGTGAATCATCTCACCAGATGAAAGCGTGTAAATAAGTGTGACTCATCTAACTGGATGAGAGCTCACAGTCGTAGCAATTCATCGGCCCAGAAGGTACAACCTACTATTCTCACTCTTCCTGATTCCACCATGAGATTCCTCGAGTTATCCTCGTGCCCCTGCACTCAAATAACCATAAACGTTCAGACTTTTCCTAAACGCAGCGTTCTGGCACTAATTAAAGCTGTGACTGTTACAACCAGGCAGGAGCTAAAACCGTGTCTTTTATAGACATTGTAATCGTCTCATATATTAACAACGTCAACTTAACACGCTGCTGCACAGTATCCATTTACCCTCCAAGGGAGAGGGAGAGAGAACGAGTTCAGAGGCACGAGGAGGAACCAGAGGCAAGCGTGAAGGCAGCGAGTCGATTTAAACCCAAAGCTCTGCGGACCTCTACATACGACGGTGATACGTCGGCCGAAGCACTCAAAGAAACCCCACACGTGCAAGAGGACAACACTCTATCCCAGAGGTCGGCATCCACAATAACAAGAAGAGACAATTTTGTTCGAATTTGGTAACAACAAAAATCAATATTCCAAGAGCCACAATGCAATGCGAATACGAGACGGTGGTCCTTAGATAATTAACTGTCACGAACTCCTTCAAGAGCCGCATGTGGCTCTGGACCCGCAGGTTGCCAAACCCCTGCTCGATCCCATACAAATGGAACAAATGGGGTTCCTCATTCGCCGCACCGCCTTCTCCTGACGAGCCAGGGTATGACAACCTCGACGTGCACGGTGCTGGATTACAGGCGCGCAGAGCCAGACCAGCTTCCCAGCTGCAGCTGCTGAGCAGTGCCGGATTATCTTCGTAGCACAAACACGGGCCCCGCACTTTCAAGGGCCCCGCGCTAAATGCTTTCAAGCTATCAATTCCGGTTCAGTGACTCTGCACTTGCTCTGTTACTATACTGCCTTCAACTTTTATGAACGACTGGGTGTTTAAGGTGAGCGATTTGTCGTATTTATCTGGCTTATAGCGAATTAAAAAAATCCAATTACTTTGCTATGCAAGTTAAAAATGTGCGTTTTAATATTGATGGTTTTTTTTTTTGCATTTAGGGCCAGTTCATAACATTTGTTACAGGCCCCGCACTAGCTTAATCCGGCACTGCCACTGACAGAGACTGATACGGTAAACAACAACAGAGCTGAAGCCGTACCGCATCGACGCGTCTCCATGTGCTCTGGGGAGCAAGAGGCGTGGTGATGTCCGTCTGCTTGCCGTGAGAGAGAGATTCCACACTCCCATGGCATGGATCATACCCTCCCCAGATGACTATTCGCACACTGACTCATAACCAGATGACGCCCCAACCGCGCGGGCTATGTATATATCTATATTTTTTTACACGCGGCGGTAATTCTGTCTCTTGCTGGAGAGACTTCGCACAAATAACGCGGAGTCGTGCCCAGTGTTTCTGCAGCACGCGTCGGGGTCGGAGAAAATACCGTTTAGCATTCTCGTGTGCGGTTGGTTAAGAGATGATTGTGAACGAAGCATTGCCGCAATTATCTAATGCGTAGAGGCATTAGACCGTCCGTTTCGTGCTATACACCATGTGAGCAACTGCTGTTAGCAAGCACCTATTGATACCCACGCAAAGACAAAGATTCCCTAGTTTTAGCCTCGACAGAGCATTGGGGCAAGTGCTGAGCACCTACGAAGGCCGGCACTGTGGCACACGAGGGGGTGGGTGGCCCACACCACGCCCGGCCGCCTTTGTCTCCCCCAGTGGCGATGTTTACACAGACAGCACCAGATCCTCATTTGAGGCCGAGTCGAGCTAGGTGAGTCCCAGGACCGGTTCAGATTATCGTCACTGGCGCTGGTGGCCGTGAGCGGGAATCGAACTTGGTTAGACGGGTTTGTAGCGCAAATCACTACACTACCCACGTGTGTATACATTACCGTATATATACACACACACAAACAAAGACAAAGATCCCCCATATAGCCTCGACAGAGCATTGGGGCAACGGCGGAGGACCTATGAAGGCCGGCACGGCACACGACGTCGTGGGTGGCCAGCACCACGCCCGGCCGCCTTTGTCTCCCCAGTGGCGATGTTTACACACACGGCAACAGGTATTCATTTGGGGCTGAGTCGACCTAGGGGAGGCCCAGGACCAGTTCAAATAATCGCCACTGGTGTACTGTATACACAGCGGAGGGGGGAGGGCTAGAGGTGACGCTGTGGTTTGCGCGCTGCGCTATGAAGCCGGCGACGTGAGTTCGATATCTAAACCGTTTCTGTACCAACCCCCTCTTCTCCGGGGCGCTCACGGAACCAATCCACACTGACCAGCGTGGTGAAGTATGGTCAGAGAATCCACACTGACCAGCGTGGTGAAGTATGGTCAGTGAATCCATACGGACCAGCGTGGTGAAGTATGGTCAGAGAATCCACACTGACCCGCGTGGTGAAGTATGGTCAGATAATCCACACTGACCAGCGTGGTGAAGTATGGTCAGAGAATTCACACTGACCAGCGTGGTGAAGTATGGTCAGAGAATCCACACTGACCAGCGTGGTGAAGTATGGTCAGATAATCCACACTGACCAGCGTGGTGAAGTATGGTCAGTGAATCCATACGGACCAGCGTGGTGAAGTATGGTCAGAGAATCCACATTGACCCGCGTGGTGAAATATGGTCAGATAATCCACACTGACCAGCGTGGTGAAGTATGGTCAGATAATCCACACTGACCAGCGTGGTGAAGTATGGTCAGAGAATCCACACTGACCAGGGTGGTGAAGTATGGTCAGAGAATCCACACTAACCAGCGTGGTGAAGTATGGTCAGAGAATCCACACTGACCAGGCTGGTGAAGTATGGTCAGAGAATCCACACGGACCAGCGTGGTGAAGTATGGTCAGAGAATCCACACGGACCAGCGTGGTGAAGTATGGTCAGAGAATCCACACGGACCAGCGTGGTGAAGTATGGTCAGAGAATCCACACTGACCAGCGTAGCATTGCGAGCTCTGATTCCAGCAATGGAACTGTTTTTGTTACAATTTGTAGGCACAAATACGTGATGTGGGTAGGCATGTGCATACACACACAGACGTTACTTAAACTATGTAGTCATCGGATTATAAGACGCACTAATTGTCCCTGTATTTGCATCAAAAGTTGGGGGTGCGTCTTATAATCCGGTAGCTATAGTACATTAATGACATCGGGGGACAGGTCTGGGATGCGTCTTACTTTCCGGAGGGTCTTATAAACCTGAAATATCGCGTTGATGTAATTAAGCAGATGAAAACCGAGTATATATAAATGTAAAGTATATTGCATGCGAAAATATTGATTTCTCGTATTTCAGTGCGGACTGCAACGCTTGAGTATAATACGCTTCAGCGGTGTCTGTTTAATAGTATCGCGTAATACGTGAGTTTTGAGAAATTAAGAGGCTTGCAAATGTTAATGTTCCATTTAGTATGATTTGAGGTATAGATTACACACGCTTGTATGTACAGCCGTCTTGAATATATCTAGGTCGTATCTGACCGTGGGTTGTGTTAATCGACATACTTCAACACTCGGTTCAAGAAAGCCATCAATTAGCCACGGATTCAATCATCTTTCCGCTTCCTGAATTGTTTTATGTTATTTAATATGATTTGACTCACGCACGACACTTCATAAAATATTGCACTGTAGTGTCATTCTGTGGGAGGCTATGTGTTACCGTAATGAATAGGCCGCATTATTGATTAGCTAATTTAAATGCGGAGTCTTTAAAGGTATCTATTGTAATGTCATCACCGCTTTTGTTTTTAAGATTAAAATTGTCCGTGTTACACAGTACACAATTAATTCACAATTGTGCATACTTCACATTTCTAAGTGGACATTATTATGTTTTTTGGGGGGGGGGGGGTTGAAACACGACTGTTGTGGTATTATCCTGAGCGTCTGTGAAAGAGCCTCATCACCACACTCGACACACCACATCCAGTATACACTTCTCGCTATGGTGGTGCCAAGAACTGCTTGTTGTTGTTTAGTTTGCTGTCCCCCCCCTCCCCTGCACCGGCGATTAGCACGGTTGGCTACGTACGATGCGAAAGAAGTTCAACATACGTACACTACATACAACTCGTCACCGGTTAGCCAGAAAAAAATATTCAGTGATACATTTAGCTCGGAACACAACCACTACAATTACTACTCTAGTTCTCTCTTACACTTCTATGGGTAGCAACGGTGTATGTATATATATAGTGTGAGATTACATCTCTATATATGTAATGTGTGAGATTACATCTCGAGAAACATGTAACACACATGCAGGATAGCCACGCGTGTACTATACGGGATATATTAATTCATCTCAATTCTGCGTGTAGAATTTTTTTCGTTGACACAAATAAAAGCACGCATTGATGTAAATGATCACAGAACAATGATAAGCTACACAATTCAACAATTTTGTCTGGTCCGGCCCGTCTGACCAGCGTGGTGAAGTATGGTCAAATAACCCCCACGGACTAAGGGACTTGGAGGAAGGTCCTCTTCATTCAGAAGTTAACTGGCAAAGGGCCTGTGAATTGTAACTCTGATCATCGTCACGGTACGGTACAAATTAATAAACATACATTGATTGCGGTGTACGTACCAATTAAGATAGCTTTGCAGTTATGGAAAGTGGGCTCTTAACTGGGACTATGATATACAAATAATTACTCAAATAACCTCTATCGTCGAAAATAATCACACATGGCCCTTTAAATGTATTTCTTACTCATACATCGCATTCGGTGTGCGTGTTGTAACACCTTACTGGTTAGCATAGCCCATAAGATTTAAACTTCACACGATCATCGCCAAATACATACTACTACAGGACTGAAAATTAATGGTCCATGCGTCAATCCACTGCTGAATGAGAATATCGGACTTCCGGACCGGTTGAGATAAGGGCGGCGAGTGATGGGGAACTCACTGTTACAACCTTGCTGGGTGAAAGGTGCGCTAGCCTCTGCACCGCCGCTCACGGCCAACACCGGTGACGATTATCTGAATCGGTCCTGGGTCTCCCCGAGATCGACTCAGCCTCAAATGAGTACCTGGTGCTACTGCTGGTGATAGTATTGATGCTGCTGCTAGTGCCCCCCCACCCCCCCACCCCCGTTGCCCCCCACGGCTCACCTGCCCGCCTTGGTGACGATCATCTCGTTGGTGAGTTCGCTGAACCTCTCCCAGAGGTCGCGCTCCTCGAGCGCCACGCGCAGTTCGCGCTCCGTGGGGTCGCCCTTCTCGCTGCCCGCGCGGGACTCGCGCTCCACGGCGCTCAGGAGGTGCTCGAGGCGCGGGGACGATGCCGCGGCCACCGCCGCCGCCTCGGCGCTCAGATCACCGGCGGAGCTCATCGCTGACGATGTCGCCGCCGCTGCTGATGATGATGTCGCTGCTGATGATGATGATGTCGCCGCCGCCGCTGATGATGATGATGCCGCTGCTGCTGATGATGATGCCGCTGCTGATGCCGCTGCTGATGATGCTGCTGCTTCTGCTGCTGCTGATGATGATGTCGCTGCTGCTGCTGCTGATGATGCCGCTGCTGATGATGATGTCGCTGCTGATCCTCGTGCTCTGCTGCTGCCGACATTTGATTGAAACAGAATCTGTATTTAGACTGTAGGAATCCGATGAGGTATAAAACTCTTTTTCACAGATTCCCAGAAGTATTGCTGTTGTACCAAAAAATATATTATTGCGTGTTGTGACATTCACGAACAGCAGTAACTGGTGATGAAGCCACTATGCATTCATACCCGAAAGAACTTACAAATAAAATCAAGTATTGCGCTTGTTTAGCCAGGAAAAAAACATCACCGAGTCCCATGACACTATACTCTTTGGTTCTTTCGGTAAAGTCACGTAGGTATAAAATAAATTCAATCACGACGTTTCGATTGCAACACAAGCAATCGCCATCAGGTGGGACAACCACAGCAATAATTTGTTTTGCTGAAGCGGGAGAGACAGCTGACGAGGTTTTCTACCCACGTGACTTTACCGAAAGAACCAAAGAGTATGGACCCCTGCAGTCACGAAAACTTCAAATCCCATGACACTGTTTTTTTTCTTTTTAAAAGGATGGTCTTGTCGAAATGTGTGCGGTGACTTTTTAAAATATATTTTTGGCCAAAATTTGGATATTTGACGCCGGCACACAATGGTCTACTCTTACGAATGTCGTCACGGGATCTTTAACGTCCACTGTGAAACAGACGGCATGTAGAAGTAATATTATTACTATGTTAATTACATCGCGCAGTATTAATCAGGGCGGCCGGTGGATTCGAACCGCGAACCTCTGCAACAACAAGCGGCGTACGCGCTACCGCAGGGTCATTTCATAGCAATAGAGTAGAGGGTTTCATAACATGGCATTATTGCTGTCGATATAGGCGTAGCGTGCACTCCAGTGGTAGTGCCTTACGCCGATAATCCCAAACCAGCGTCGCAGCGTTCCGGAAAGAAAAAAAATCGAGTGATAAATTAAGCGCGGTGTATGTATGGGTGTACTCTCTGTGTGTGAATGTGTGTATTTGTGTATGCATGCAGGGGAGCGGTGGTGCAGTGGTTAGCGCGTCGCGCTACGAAAAACCCGGCGACAAGAAGTTAGATTCCGGCTCACGGCCACTTACACCAGTGACGATTATCTTAACCAGTCCTGGGCCTCCCCTATAGGTAGACTCAACCTCAAATGAGTATCTGGTGCGGTGTGTAAATATCGCCACTTGGGAGACAAAGGCGGCCAAGCGTGGTTCTGGTGAACCAAATCGTGTGCCGTGCCGGCTTTCAGAGGTGCTACTCGCTAACAGCACTTGCCCCAACAGTCTGTCAAGGCTATACGGGGGGAGTTATTTCTTCCCGTATGCATGCACCATATGGTAAGACTGTGTGTGCAGCCTCCGTATGCGTGTCAGCTATTGATGTAGCCGGTATATATATATACACTGTGGTCCGTGTGTCATCAGCGATGTAGGTTTATGTAATGTTATAGCCTATGTGTATATATTGTATTTATATACGGGCAATTACTTTAGCCAATGTCGATATATATGTATATGTAGCCTATGTGTGTAGCATATGTATAGACTATGCAGCCAATATGCATATGTACATTACAGTACATACGTGGCTTTATTTACGTGGAAAGATTATGTGTATAGTTTCGTATGTTACCTATGTATAATATCGACTTTGTTCAGCCGCGATCCTGATATCCGCTCCCTACACTAAGTGGTCTATGAATTCATGGCCTGGTATTTACGTGTATATACAATGTCTAGGTATGTGCGTGTATAAACAATGTATTCATAAGTACAGCATATGTGTATGTATATATTGTATGTATATGCGTATGCGTGTATACAATGCATTTATAAGTATATGTGTATACGTATATATAGGCAATGTATGTATATGTATATATGTGCTCAGGCAATACATGGGTGATTACAATGTATTAATAGTTCTATTTTTATACGTATACAACGTATGTGTGTGTGTAGACAATGTATTTATAGGTGCATGTGTGTATATACACCTAATGTTTGTGTAAAGGTACACAGTGTGTGGTACATGCGTGTCGGTGATGCAGGTACATGTGTACGTGTGGACTGTGCACAAGACCTGTGTTATGTTCGCACGTGTGTGTGATGCACGTGTGTGTGTGTGATACGCGTGTGTGTGATACGTGTATGTGATGCACGTGTGTGTGATACACGTGTGTGTGTGTGATGCACGTGTGTGTGTGTGTTGCGCATGTGTGTGTGATGCGCGCGTGTGTGTGTGATGCACGTGTGTGTGTGTATGTATGCTGCACGCGTGGTTGTTGTACGCGGCGGTGCATCGATGTACCTGTGTATAATCTCTCCTCTTGCCAACCTTGTCGCGCGACCGGAGGAACGAACGACCAGGGGTTGAGTTCGCGAGCGCGATTCACTCTGAGCGAGTGGCGGGGTAGGGGAGGGGGAAGTGACTGAGAGGAGCGGGGCAAGCCCAGACGAGGAGGAGGGAGGAGGTTCGTGGTAGTGGTGGTGCTGCTGCTGATGTCTCCCGTGCCGGTCCTTTATCTAGGGGTCAATGGGCACCCTCCGTCTCCGCCCATGGTAAAGACGCTCATTGGTCAGGAGATGCAGCAGGCATTGCCCGCGTGTGGTGGGGAAGGAGGTGGCGGTGGGGGGTCCATTCTCTTTATTCCTCGGGGGGGGGGGGGGGGGGGATCACAATGGAGCCGTTGCTTTTGTTCAGACCTCTCTTACCTTTACAAAGTTATTTTACAGTTACGCGTATTTACAAAACCCGTAGCGGTTCCGCGCGAGTGGAGATGTCGCAGATTTCGCGTGTCTGCGAAACTAAATGCTCGTTTGTTTGGCGATGCTGTGTCGTGAGCTATGAAGAAGGGCCACGGCCCGAAACGTCGCCTATCATGTTTTTCTTTTGGGCCGTACTATTTATTGACGAACGTGTTTCGTTTTTGTGTGTGTGCGTGTTTATTGCGCGTGTTCACCATTGGCAACTCGGCAGAATCACCAAATGACCCTGTTATATTTTACCCGGACGTCATGAACGTGTATACGTGTAGGTTTAGATGCATATTGTACCGTGAATTTGTATTGATTAATGAAAAAAACCATTTCAAACTCTGTATTTGTCTCCACTCTGGTTGCTGTGAATAAGTGAGCTATATCGAATGAGTGAGCAATACACTAATGCTCGAACAAACTATGGTTCTGTATTGCAGCTACGTTGTTAGCAGCGGTTGCACAAGCACACACACAGCGCACATGGAACACCTAAACACTTTGACGACTATGGACACCCAGGAGAGAAACCACGAGACTCAATGCCCTCCCTATTCACGAATGCGAAGGGAGGCATCGCCGCAGCGATCCATCCACTCCGCTACTCCTGACCGGCAATGAATGACCGGCGTGGTGAAGTATGCTTGAGCAATGGTCAATGAACACCGCTGCCTGAAGGCACGGCCTTCACCTGCAGCAGTGGGCTGACAAAGGGCAGAAGTTATGTTACTTACGCATAGACAATCACAACACTAATGCGTAATGTATACTGTATTATGTACTGTCTACGTGAGCACGCAATACGCGGGTGTATGTGTATTGCTGTCGCTAAACTTTCGTTAATTTAAGGAATTGACGGAGAACGCGTCTTTTATTTTTGCTGGCACATTTTACGTATTTGTTTATTGTAACAAAAATGTTACGCGCATTGTTGTTTTATTTTACTGAATGTATGCTAACGGGACCCAACCAGGTTGGAAGATGTTAAATAAACTCTGGGCAAAAAAACAAAGAAACCATGAAATGAATGTAAAATGTCACTTGGCTAAAAGCCCTCTAATGTCACGAATTTGGGTATATTGATCACACATCAGATGAAATGCGTATTGAATTGTTATTCGGTCAGTATTTTAACATTAAAAATAGTCCGTTAGCATGCAACCTCACGATAAAAAACACCCTTGATTTACAGCATACGTGCAACGTGTCAATTCTCCCTTAGTTTGAATTACTGCTTTTTTTGCGGTTAGTCTGCTGTCATTACCCCCCCCCCGCGCCTCCGATTAGCGCGGTTGGCTACGTACGGTGCGAAGTAAGATCGACGGACACACGCTCTCCGAGTGAGTAAGCGCACTGCCGTCCTGACGGATTATGTTCCTGCGCGTGATGGCAGCAGTGTGATGACGTTCGCCAGCGAGACGCCAATGCCACGACGAGAGGGCTTCTCCTGGCAGCGGACGGAGAGTCCGCTCGCGTCGTTTTTTGTTGTTGAAAGAGCGCAGGCCACTTTGGCGTGTTTGTATTGGGCTGTTCGTTGAATTTCTTTCGCACCGTACGTGGCCAACCGTGCTAATCGGAGGTGCGGGTTTAGTGGACGGTCGCTCTTGGAATGTCGCACTCGGTCGCAACACATCAACGGTATGGTATGGCCTTATTCACTGTAGGTTCGTCCACTGTGTGAATGATTGAATTGTGAAAATGACCGCGGTGTGATCAAAGATTACACGAGTTGAGGGTTGAATGTCTCCTTAATGAAATGAGCAACCGAACGTCCATCATATGCCTGTTTAACCGTGAGACAGTGGTGGAAATTCCACATTTCTATGTATAGGTCAGTGTTGTTGCGGAATGAGTTAGAAATAGGGGTCAAAGGGGGGGGGACACACACACACACACGAACCTACAGTAATAATTGTATGTTCATACCGTACGAGTAACGTGCCACCTTCCTTCAGACGTGATCGTTCGTTTCTCCGTCTCACCCTCCCTCTGCATGTGACGCCCTGCCAGCCAGCCAGCCGGCAAAACTTTTCTCCGTCTTCTAATATACAGTAATAGATCTATGATTCGTGTTGGTTTAGCGGGGGTTGTGTGGGCGGATGCAGCCTTGGGTGACATTTCATAGTAGGCCTGAAGCACATGC